CACTGGCTGAGCGAGGTGCGGGCGCGACACCGAGGGTTGTGATCCCGTTGCCGGTCCCCGGCCCGGTGCGGGGGCGACACTGGGGGTTGCGATCCGTTGCCGGACACGGAAAAAGACAAAAAGACAAAAAAAAAAAGAAAGTAGAATGTGTAGAACTTGGTGATTTTTTTGGATGCGTTGGGAGTTGTCATTAAATGATGGTCTGTTGTACTCAGAGACCAGGAAACGCTTGTTCAGTTAGGCTACATGAATCTTAAAACTAGAAGACTGCTTCTCAAATTGGGGTCACAGTGTCTCCTTAGAGGTCTCATGCACGTTTCTGGGTTGTTTATGCTGCTTTGTGCGCTGGATGTATTTCAGATTCCAAACAAATTGTGATTGCAGCACTGCTCATGTTTTACAAATAAGCCAAACAAGCGATTCTTTTTAAATAAAAACTATTTGCTACTCTCCTCATCCACCACCGCTAATATCCTTTTCCTGGTCATGATCTGCTCAGTTTCTCACTACTAGTCATGAAATTTGTTGGCCGTCCACTGTCTATTTATCTCATCTCCTACCTTTACCTATCACAACTTTCTTATCTTCTGATTCAATAAAATAGTTAATACTTTATTTGATAATCATTTCGTAAGTACTTGTTTCTAAGGGTTTTAGAAGTGTAGCAATGGAATATCATCTGCTAATTGAGGGAACCTCCAGTCATTACCAAACCCTCCACATGCCAGAGACTGTACCAAGTGTTTCACAAAGTTAAAAGAACAAGATGCTTACCCTCTGGAAGCTCAACATCTGGAATCAAACCTATGGAGGTAGAAACTGGCATGAAGAAAAACATTAGAAACAGTATCTGCCTTATATGATCTACAGTAGGATTTGGTTTGAGGTGCTGCTCTTGAGTTATTGCCAGGTGTCTATAGTCTTGATAGCTAAAACTAGCAAGCTTTACTCTGAAGATTTAAGATGGAGTGTAGTAGTTGAAAGTCAGGGATCTGGGGTTTGACTTCCTAGTTCTGTCACTTAGATGTGTCACCTTGGCCAAATTACTTAATCTCTGTGCTTTCCTTTCATTATCCGCAAGATGAAGATCATAATAGTATCTACCCTAAGATTGCTGAGAGGATTAAATGACAAGTGTATGTGATGTGCACAGCACACTTCCTGACACAATGCCAGTGACAGTAAACACTCGCTGTTGACCATTCCTGAAGCCAGAGGGAAGTCTCTGAAGGCTCAGGTGAGGGAGGCGTGCCGTGTGACTCCCAAGGAGTGTTGCTTTCTGTCTGTATGAGAGCTGTTCGAGCTAATCCTGAGATCCTTTGTGGTCACCTAAGTTAATCACAAAGAAAATTCTGGAACATGCTTTCTTTAGAACAAGTTAGTCTTTGGGCTTTTGAAGTTACCTGTTTGATCACATTACACATGATCAGTTGTCACTTCAGTGCACTTCCAGAAACACGTTCAAAGGCTAGCATGTGGTAGGAGGAGTTACCTTAGAGGAGACTTGGACTTCGCTGCCTCTCTGAGACCTTCCTCTGATACCCATCACCTCCCTCATTTGAGTTCAACACACATTAATGAAGCTCTACTATTTTTCGGGTTCTGTATTAGGCTCCAGGGGTACAAGAATGAACAGACAGTTCCCATACTCATGAAACTTATAATCACATGGAAATATTTGTGAACAAGTTCAGTCCATCATGATACAAACACAAATGGAAGTAAGTAGAAGGTCAGAGCTACTATTTTTCGGGTTCTGTATTAGGCTCCAGGGGTACAAGAATGAACAGACAGTTCCCATCCTCATGAAACTTATAATCACATGGAAATATTTGTGAACAAGTTCAGTCCATCATGATACAAACACAAATGGAAGTAAGTAGAAGGTCAGAAAGGTACATAGAAAGGATAATAAGGAAGACTTCACAGAGGCGGTAACATCTCAGGATTTTGAAGGGAATAAGAATAAGGAGAGTCAGAAGATCGGCATGGTTTGTAAAGGAGAATTGGACCACAGGTGTGTGGTGGGACATGGTAGGAGATGAAATCGAAGATGTTGGCAGGAGCTAGATCATTAAGAGCTTGGCTTTTATCATGGGGACATTGGGGGCCATTGAGGGACTCTAGGCAACTCAATGCTATAAGATTTGCATTTTTAGCAGATCACCCTAGTCTGGAAGATGAACTTAGATAGGATATTGGAGATGCTGGCAGGTTCCTGTCACCACTGCACATTCATTGAGGGAAGGGACAGGGTCCTATTTATCTCTGTACCCCTAATGTTTAAGATGTTATAGAAATTTAAGAAATTCTTTGAAATGAAGACAACCCAAGTTGAATTTTCCAGTTCTGCATCCTATCCTCAGAACATGCTGACCTGGACCTCCATCTGTCACAAGCAGCTTGACTAAGATCATCATAAATTCCTTTTTCTTGGTATTCTTTTAACTGGCACTCTGTTTACTAGCCCCTCTCTGCAGCTGCAGTATGGTGATGATTGATGCTTATAATTCTGACCCTGAAGTACTTCAAGCCTTCTAAATCATCAAAAAAAGATTAAAGTATATTCAATATCGTTCTTATGTTTGTGTGTTTTACTGCATTCTTATTCTTTGGAAATTGATGGTTTATCAAGTGCCTGTGTACTTGTGTGCATGCAGGCACCATGGGAGTCTGTGATCACCCACAACTCTTCACTCCTTCACAGTGCCAGACACAGGGATTATTGCACATGCCCAAAAATAAACAAACAAGATAAACTAGGTTCTCTTCATGTCTAGAATAGTGACGCAGATTGGCCCCAAAGGAGGAAATTGAACCGAAATGCAAGAGAAAGCAGTGGTTAGAAAAGCAGTGAGAGTGTCAAAGCAGAACTGACATAGACCAGGGAGTTGGCAGTTACCAAGCGGGCCCGCACTGCAGCCCAGCCCCAGGAAGAGCAAAGCTCAGGACCGGGACTGCAGCTTCACGTTCTGTGTGCCTTGACCCGAATCATCAGGCTTGGATTTGGCAGGATTCTCCACCAGCTATATTTGTATTGCAGTAACAATTGTGCAGTAAAATACCAAACATTAGCAAGTGAAACATCAGTAATTAGAGCATCCTGTTCCCCACACCCATCTTTTCTTGGAAACCGTTATTGTCACAGAAGTGACAACATTGCTGGGCCCAGAATGAAGAACTCCAAGTAGAAGCTGTGAGATGGCTTCATCTTGTATGTAACCTTAGTTCCAAAAAAGAGGGCTGTGATGTCCCTAGGAGGGAGATTTGTTTGGGTTTTCTTTTAGGGGTAACATATTATAGTAAGTAGAAATGCCTCTTAAATTGTGTCATACAAATTTATTTTTAAAATCCATGTGTATGTCACCACTCATCATCCCGGCCCAGGCAGCCAGTCCCCAAACCACAGGGATTGTGTTTGCCACCCTCTAGGCAAAGACACATGGTGGCTTCAGATCTAGCTGTACTACTTGCCAACTCTGTGAATTCAGCCAGGTTTTTTCATCTCTCTGGGTCTTAGTTTTCCTTTATCTGAAATATTGGAACAATACAAATTCCTTCTTTACAGAGTTGCTGTAAGGCTGAAATAAAATGGTCGATGTAAAAATCCCTAACTGGAAAGCCTTACCTATGTAAGTGATATTAGACTGCATATAATAAAGAACATCATAAATATTCTAACAAAATATAGAAATATATTTCACCAGCAAGAACGACATCCTCCAAAATTTCCACAAAGTAGAGTGGGGAAATGAACTATTTATTGAGTCCCTACTGTAGAGTAGGTATTTTAGCTATGTATCCACTCTTCAAGGTAGATATTAAATCCCTGTTTCAGAGATGAGGAAACTGAGGCTCCTAGTCACACAGCTGTACATAGCAGAAGTGGGACTTGGACTTGACTCCAGAGCTTATGCTCTTTCTCCCGTATCATGTTATCTCTAGTGATCTAGCCAGTTCCAAACCCCCAAAGTTCTTAAAAGGTGTTCACGTCCTTTGGGGCTGGGAAGTTTGCTGGCCATGTTTTGGTCATTCGCTCTTGAAAGTGGGGCAGGGGAGGGTCCAGAAGCAATTCCTGAGCTCCAGGAGCCCCTGGAGAGAGCAGCAGCACAGGACAGGCAGGACGTGGGGCCAGCGCTCGGTCCGAGCTCCATGGCCCTGTCATTCTCAGAAGTCCGTTCTTGTTCGGTCAGGGCCAGGCAGCCCGTCAGCCTCCCGGGTCCTGAGGCCGCTGTGGCGTCCTCCCCCCAGGAGTCGGTGCCTCTGTGTTCCGGCTGGCTCCCCGTTCTGTTTGAAGAAGGAGTGAGATGAGATTTACTCCATGTAGTCACTACTGTACTAGGCTTTTCTGGGACTCTTCCTGTTAACTTTGATGCCAGGTACCGGGGGAAAGAGCCCACCTTGTGGCAGTTGATGAAGTGCCCAGTGGAGCCCACCACTGCATGTGTTTTTCTTTTCTATCATTTTGCCAACTCACAGACAGAGCGTCTGCTTGTGAGCTGGAGTGGCCCACACAGAGGAGCAGAGATAATACCCGGTGAAGGGCCACGTCAGATATTCAGCGTGGATGTCAGTGTGTGGGAGAACTGTTTGTTCAGCCTGTGGTTCTGAGGGGAGCTATGTGTCGCGTTTCCCTAGGTTCTCAACAGGAGGTGTGTAGAGGCGGCGGTGATGACAGGCCTGGCTCTGAACTGCCACATAAACAAGAAGTCCTTGTTTGACAGGAAGCACTACTTCTACGCAGACCTCCCTGTAAGTATGCTTTGTGCTCCAGCCCTCAGTACGTTCTCAGAGCAGGGCCAGCCTGGTGTTGCAAGCATGGGGGAAGTGCTGCGCCAGCCGGTGCTCTGTCCACCTCAGCAGGAGGTTCTGCCCGGCCCTGATGAAGGCAGGTGCCCCCCCCCCCCAATGACATTTGCTAGATTGGAAGTAGTTGTCCTGATTGCCGATGCCATGCTTAGCCTCATGCTTCTGGTGGCTGGCTCATAATTGAACAGGGAGTAGGAGCCAGGGCTCTTAGGCTCAGCCCAGCCATGGTGTTTGGTGCTAATTGCCTGTTAGTACAAGAGCAAACTCTGGCTGATGCAACAGTAAATGCATACTGTACCTCTGTAGGCAGAGTGAGAGCTTCTCTCTTTTAAGTTGAAGTTCCCAGTAATAGGGCTGTCTTCTTTGGAGACATTTCTGTCATCTCACAAGGAGCAAGTAAGTGGACAACAGTAAGCAGAAACATGAACCCGAAACCTGGACTAACAACAGTAATTGGCTGAGCAGTCGACTCAATGTTTACCTGTTTTTTCTTAAAATTTAAAAGTGTTTCTTCAAGCCACACCAGTGTGAATTAGAGCCAGATTTTTATAGTATTGAGCTGAAACAAAACTGAAATGTTGAATGGGTTTCCCAAAATAATGGAGCCTCTAATAGTAAGTATGGCTCTCCTTTAAATTTAGAAAAACGGTAAGGATAATGATGCTTCACCTCTCTCTCCTTGTATTAAAGATTGGGGTGAGCTGTTTTTTAGTGAGTAAGGGCAGGAGTAGAATTAAATAAACAATAGAAGTAGGACCTGAATTCTCCAATTGCTGCTGCTTTTCGCCTCTGGCTGCCAGCCTTTCAGCAAGGTCTGCCTGATAGGGTGGAAAGAATTCAACTGCATTTATTCATCTTTTAAGAGTGATAACCAGTTTGGTTAAGGTGGGAGTCTTAACAGTACATGACTGAAATGAGATGTTTTGATTATCTGTGGCTTTCTGTTCTTTCTGGCCCAGGTAATTCAGATAATCCAGAGTTGGAGTTGCCAGATATTGCATGGGACATACTTATACTAAAAAAAAATTTTGGTTTATCTGAAAATTCAAATCTAATTGGGCATCCTGTATTTCATTCTGCAGCCCTACCCAGAGTTTAGTTTTACAAACTGAGGCTTCCTATCTCAGCATAGAAAATGAGTTAGCCTCCTGTAGGTTCTCACAGTGTGGTCCCCAGGGCCCTAGCATCAGCACCTCCTGGGAACATGTTAGAAATATAAATTCTCAGGTCCCACCCCAGACCTACTGAATCAGAAACCACCGAGGTGGGGACAAGCAGTGTTTTGGCAAGCCAGCTGGTGTTTTTGATGCAGTTAAAAGTTCAAAACTGCAGGCTGGCCTAGTGGCTAGGAGCACAGACCCTGATGCCAGACCAGCCGAGTTCAAATACTGGCATTGACACTTACTAGCTCTGTGTGTGGCTTTGAGCAAGACCCTTCACCCCTCTGTGCCTTGGACCTACTTCATAGGGTTGTAGTGTTAAATGTAGCATACTGAGAACAGCGTCTGGGACCTAGCAAGTGCTGCAGATGCTTTCGCTCTTATTCTCTATTCTTCTCCAGTTCTCCTTATTGACCCACCATCTCTTTAGTGTGTGTGGATGCATAGTAATTCTTCCTTTCCACTTAGAAGGAGGTGAGGGAGTCCTTGCAACATCCATCAGAATTTTAGTACCATGTGCTTTCCATTAGCTGAGTGAGTGTCACAGCATTTTCTGGCTAGAGGAGCAAGGGAAGTTGGGTCAGGGAGGGCAGCTGCCATAAGTGGTCAGCTTAAAAAGAGCAGAAACAAAAGCTTAAACACATTAGCAACTGCTGTCGGCTGTGTTGTGAGTAGATGGCAAATGCTTAGCTAGCATTTCCTAGTAAGGAGGGGTCTGTCAGGAGCCCAGTAATGAGATGCAGTGTTTAGGCTAATGAGCTAAAAGGAAATAATACATTCTTTTCTTAGCGGCCCCTGACAATGAGATTTCTGTTATTCCCAAAAATGGCACTTCTGTAAGGAAGATGGGATGTATGTTGTTTATTGTGTCATTATTAGGAGTGGGAGGCTTGGGGAGGGTAAGGGGATAATGGGAAAAGCCAGAAGAAGACAGGCTAAATTATGGCTGCAATACATAAACTAGTTTTTCTTCTCCTTTTTCTGTCCTTTTTTTTTTTTTTTACTGTTTTTTGTTTGTTTTGTTTTAAGTAAGCTTATATTTGTGTGATATTAAAAGGAATAGTGCACTGGATCCCAGCTTTTATTTATGGATAGTGACTATAACCCATGTTTGTGTGCAGGCAGGCTACCAGATTACCCAGCAGAGGCTCCCAATTGCTGTGAATGGGAGCCTCACATACAGCATCTGCACAGGGAAGAAGCAGAGTCAGATGATCACCAAGACGGTGAGGATCAAGCAGATCCAGTTGGAGCAAGACAGTGGGAAAAGCCTCCATGACGACCTGAGGTCTCAGACGCTCATTGATTTGAACAGGGCGGGTAGGCTTGGTGTATTTTCATTGCTTCTCCTTCCAGCCACCTCAGTCTTGGGGTTTTAGGCACCTCTGTTCCCCTCTAGAGTTTTCCCAAACCAGTTGAGAAAGCAGGCACAGGAGCCTGACAGATCACAATAGCACTGGTATTGGCATAGATGATTAGAGAGCATGGCTTGAACTGTGATTATAATTGGGCTTGCTAATAATTCATCCCTAAAATTAGACACACTTATGCACCTAGTCATGGACCCAACAGCTGGATATCTTAAGCAGACATTAAAAGAAATGAACCAAAGATAAATGTCAAAAGTGGGAGGAGAGAGAAGTGATTCAGAAGGTAGAACCACTTTGAGAGTCCTTTAGTAATGCAGGGTTTTCCCAAGACTTCAGCCTAATTCATCTGCTGATGAGACTGGAGATCCTCAGTCAGGCTGTTGCTGACTCTGCCTCTCTTTGGTAGGAGTTGGCCTTCTGGAAGTGGTCCTGGAGCCCGACATGTCCTGTGGAGAAGAGGCAGCAACAGCTGTCAGGGAACTGCAATTGATACTTCAAGCCCTGGGGACCAGCCAGGCCAATATGGCAGGTAGAAGCCACAGAAGCAATATCCCTCCTTCTTCGCCTTCTCCCTTTCTTCTTCCTAAGTCTCTTCTGACTTCAGTTTTGTTCACTGCCATCAGTTATATTGAAGTTGTTTACATCCTTTTTTCAGCCTTTTTCAGCCTTGGTTTTTTTCCTAGCATTTTTCTTGGATCTTTTCTGTGCCTCAAACCAAAAATAAACAACAACAGTACAGAGACAATGAGCCCAACAATATGAAAATGTGAGTCAAAGGACTAGATACTTTCTCCCAGCTTCTTACATCAAAACTGTGAGGATCAAAGAAATATTGTGTGTGAACAGTTTAATCTTTCTCAGAAAGAATACACTGTATTTATCAAGAATACTTCTTAGTTTGGGAGTTCTGTATAGAGAGCACTTAGTTACTAGTTACTGCTTTTCCTTTGGATCTCTTTATTTTTCTTTTGTGGAATTTTCATTTGTGCACAGCTGGAGCCAAATTATATTGACTGTAAGCCTCTTTAACCTGAGATAAAATCTTAAATTCAGTAGAAATTAAGGAAACTATTTAGTTTCACTAGGAAACTAAAACAAAGAAACAAACCAAAGAAATATTTGCACCCTCGAGACCAAACTTTGCATTTTAAATGTTTGTAAATTGGATATAAATATGACAAGTTTTGGCCAAATTTGGTTTCTTCATGGCTCTGCTCCCTTGGCCCTTGCCTAGTGCTGCTTTGCCCTCCTAAGCCCCTGATGGGTGTTCTCTCCCTTGGTTTTCCCCTATTTTCTGTTCCGGGGGCTTTTTAAAAACTTCTGCCTTAGAGCACTCCCCTATGGAGTAGGGACAGAATACAGGTTCTGAATAGACAATTGCATTTTTCAGTAGCACAGTACAGTGGTTATAGTGGGTGCCCAGTAAATGCCAGCAATGATGCTGTTCGTCTCCCTGCCAGCTCGTCTTATTGTTTACCAACCTTATCATGTCACATAATGTATTTGCCTGTTACAGAGGGTCTTCTGAATTTGTAATGCCACGTTTGTCACATAGGACATCTTAGAAGCAACAAATTGTAACATCAAAGTCCAGGTACAAGTTGAACTTTAAGACAGAACTTGTTTATTTGCTGTCTTCCTTAAGCTGAAAATTGGAAAAACACAGCCACATGACTTTGAATGGCATAAAGGTTAGCTACCTCCAAGTTTGCTGTATAGAAATGAAGCTGTTTTAGAGTAAGAGAATTTTATTTTAGATTCACTTATGCTGATTTTTACCCATAGAACATAAATGAAATATGGGCGGGTTGGATGGTTATCCACTTATGTGCTAAGTGTTGTTTCTCTATGGCTTTAAAAAGTTTTTATTATTCTATTCTTCTTCAAAATAACTGTGATTCCTACTAACCCGGTGGAATAATAAATAGGCCACATGTTAGCTGAGAAATAGTCCCGTCTGGGCAATTGCCAAGAGATAAACCGTAATGGCAAGAACTCATCAGCCAGTACTGTGATTCCTACTAACCCGGTGGAATAATAAATAGGCCACATGTTAGCTGAGAAATAGTCTCATCTGGGCAATTGCCAAGAGATAAACCGTAATGGCAAGAACTCATCAGCCAGTGACAGCTGAGAATGCTCATTAAATTTCATTTGTGGTGACATTTTTTGTTTCTTTTAAATACAAATTCAACAGCTTTGCTTCTAGCACAGCAGCCTAGTGGCTTCGGTTTATTCTAAAGTGCTGTGGGGAGCTGAGGTCTGCCTGGAGTCTACAGAGGTTCAGCTTTTTGGTGCTGTCAGCGTTTTATCAGCCCCATTCCTTTGCTCAGTCTTCTGTCCCATCACAGGACCACTGCATCAGCATTGGGGACTGCAACCTGAGAACTGAGGGCCACCCTGAAGATCAGTGGACACCCAGGGTGCTTTTGGAATGAAGCATAAATTGTTCTGGACTGTGATTCAAAGAGTTCCTGATAGTTTTACTAATGAGCACAGACCAGCTCAGCCCAGGTTGCAAGTCATTTCCTCCTCAGTGGACAGCATTTTGCCCCTGGTGAGGAGATCCTCAAAGTAGTTTGTTGAATTGAATGTATTCAGAAGTAGAGATGCTAAGTGTTTCAGTGATAATAATTTCTACCAGTTCGAACATTTAGTATGTGTTCATCAGTTCTTGAAGCTTGTTTTAAAATTAATTGTCTCATTGAAACTTTATGACATTCCTGAGAGACAGGTGGTATCGTGCATGTTTGCCCATGTGAGGAAACTGAGGCTTGGACGCTGAGTTATTTGCTCAATGTTCGCAAGAAATGACTGAGCTGCGATTTGAGCTCAGGTGGGTCTGCCTTCAAGAGCCCTTTCTTTAAGCACAGTGTCATCTGCTTCCTAGTGGCAGCCATGGCAGTGTTGTGATGCCACATATGCTGACTTAGGTAGGATAGCAGAGCATGGGTGCTGAGGCCTCCGAGGTCCCAGACTTGGGTTGGAATCCTGTCCTGTGACTTCTCACTATAGGAACCTAGCAAGTGTTGTGATGCCACATATGCTGACTTAGGTAGGATAGCAGAGCATGGGTGCTGAGGCCTCTGAGGTCCCAGACTTGGGTTGGAATCCTGTCCTGTGACTTCTCACTATAGGAACCTAGCAAAGTTATTTGATTTCTCTGAGCCTCACTATCTACACTTATAAAATGAGTCCCCAAATAACTGTGTATAGAAAGGGAAAGGAAGAAACCAAAGTCTTCAGATACAATTGGGGCAGCTGGATGAGAGGAATGACTTTGTGGGAGAAAATCTGGAATTCCATTTTGGATCTGTTAAGTTTGAAATGCCTCAGGATGTCTGAGTGGCCTTGTCATTAAAGCTCTATTGTAGTGAATGGTGAATGAATGTAATAATGTGTATAAAACAGCAAAGGGCCTATGCTGGATAAATGTTACATGCTTTTATGAACAGTAAGTAGCATCACTTTTATAGAATCACCATTCATTTGGATGAATGAGCTGTGTGAAATATGTTCAGGAAGATTTAGTCACTTCCCCCACCCCCCATCCCCACCCCACGCCAAAACTTGCTATTTAAGTTTTGGGGAGTATTCAGTAATCAGAGGGAGATAGCTTAGCAGACCTTGTCACCAAATCTTCAGGCCCCTGCTGTTTGCAGAAACAGTTTTCTGTCCTGATGTTAGATTTCTGTTGTGTGAATGTGTTTTAGAGAAAAATATGTAACTACACTACATCACTGTGCTCAGTGGTGTAGTTTTTTAGTTTTGCTGTTACAAATCTCTCCTTGTAGGAGATAGAAATTGAGCTTGAAGACTTTCTCGTGGTGTGTGAGTGAAGGCCCTCCCTCGGTGTTGCAGAGTGCATTGAAGTAAACCTGACTTGAAAGGCTGTTGTGCACTCGCGGCAATTTAACTTAATTTGTTTAAAAGGTATTTTGTCTTCACTGGATAGAATGTCTTTTGTTATTGTTTGATACTATATTTGAATGCAGGCTAGTGAACTCTCTTTCAACACTGCAGGATACTAAATGATTCCTCTCAGACATTTCTGTAGTATGGTCTCTTAGACTAAAATTCCTGCTTTTATTCCTTTTTCAAATTAGAATTCTAAATTGTGAAAGATGGTTTCATTTTTAAAAGTAAGTGAGGTCCAATTCAGGTTTCCCTGAGTTCAAAAAAAGTTGTCTCCCAAGTATTGGAATTCGTTTGAGCAGAGCTCAGCATACTTTGGAAGTTTTCTTTTGAGCTTAATGGGCCTTTCAGATGATTCCAACTGGGGATTAGTCCTATTTAGACAGAATTTTAGAACTTATCAGGAACCTGCTGTGATATAAACCCGTCTGCTTACTCTTTGCTCAGGAAAACACCAGAGTTTTGGCATTCATCATTCAACAAGGTATTAATTTATTGAACGATTACCATGTGCCATATCCAGCTCTAGATTCCAAAAAAGACATTGTTCCTGCCACATAGAGCTTATATTCATTCATGAAGGATGCCTTCAAGGAAATTTTGAGGAGCTGGGTGGTGGTACTATTTACTGAAATTGGAAGATGAGGAGCAGAATTGTCTTTGTTCAGGGGCAAATCAGGATTTAGTTTTGGAAATTGAATTGCCTGTGAGATCTCCAAATGGTGGTGTCAAGTAGATATTAGAAGTATGAGTGTGGAGCTCAGAGGAGAGGTCCGAGCTGAAAGGAGAAACTTAGGCATCATCAGCATATAGGTAGTATTTAAAACCATACGCCCCCACAGAGAGAGGATAAGTAAAGAAGAGGATCCTGAGTTTGGATGGGAAAGAAAGCACCAGCAAATGAAATGGGGATAGAGTGTCCAGGGAGGTAGAAGGAAAATCAAGAGAGTCTAAGGCCACAGAGCTGAAATAGGAAGATACTTCACGAAGGAAGGATTGGTTGATATGTCGCATGCTGCTGAGGTGTCCAGTAAGGTGAAGACAGAATGTGTCCTGTGTCCATTGGATTTGGCAGCTGGGAGGTTGTAAGTGACTCTGACAAGGGCATTTTCAGAGAGTTGAGGACAGAAGCCAGGCAGAAGTGGTTTATGAGTAAACGGGAGGTGAGATAGTGGAGACAGTACATGCAGCGGACAAACAAAACATGGGAGGATTTGCTGAAAAGGAGAGCAGAGAAATGGTAGCTGAATGATAGAGAATGGGGTCCAACAGAACAGGTTTGGGGAGCTTTTAATGAGAACTACTGTTGCGTATGGATATATCAGAGGGAGTGCTGAAAAAGAGACTAGTGACCGGTGTGGGAGAGGGGGGAGAGCTGAAAAAGTGACGTCCTCGAGAAGGGAGAGGGGACTGAAAATCTGGCCCAGTCCTTGGGGGCCTTCCATTCTTGTCTTAAAGATAAGGTTGATTCAAAATAGACCATAGCTGGGTGCTAGGTTGTGCACATTCTAATAGTTCAGAGGACCCACCCGTGGAGACTAACTTATTGGTGAGGGTTTCTGGGAGGAGAAGGCGGGAACACTTAAGTGGGACCTTGAAGGATGAGCAGAGGTTGAAGAGACAGACCTAACGCTGTTAGGGAAAATGTGGCAGTGAGAAGACAGGGAGTTGTGTGCTGAAAGATCCCTGGGTCAGAGGGCAACTTTCTCATGGCATGAGGAGTGGGAAAATGTAGGTCATGTCAGCCGAGACCAGATGAGGGCCCTCGGATGCCAAGCAGGGGGGGACAGGATGATCAAGTGGGAGCTGCCGGTGCGCTGAGTAAGCAATGGGAATGTTAAGCATCATGGTGTAGGGGCCGAGCCCGTGGAGCACTCGGGAGAGTGCGGCGCTGGGTGCGCAGCAGCGCTCCCGCCACGGGTTCGGATCCTATATAGGGATGACCGGTGTGCTCACTGGCTGATCGCCATGCAGCCGATCTCAAAAAAAAAAGACAAAAAAATTTTTAAAAAAAGAATCATGGTGTAGCAGGATGGCAGTGTGGCCACACTGTGGGTGACTGGACAAGGAGGCCTTGCTGTGGTAAGAGTTGGGATGTGATCCCTTAAATTAGGTCTCAAGTGTTGAGACCTCGGGCATGGGTGGCAGCAGAGGAAACAGTGAGGGAGTG